ATATATATATATATATATATATATTTCTTTTTGCCCCTATCAAGGGCCCAGATGCCCTCAATGACAAAGTAGCACAGTCTGACAGAGGCCCTTGAAGGAAAGCTGGAGGCTACAAGGTGAGAAAGAATGGGGGTGATGACCAGCCATGCACAGATGATGGAAAGAAAGCCACGCAAATACTTTCAGGGGAGGTTGCTCCCCTACCTGTCAACCCAGCATCTTTTCTCTTCAGCCCTAAAGGTAACTCCCTGTCTGTGAGAGGAGGTAAAGAAAGAATCAGGACAGGCCAAGGAAGCCCCGACTTCTGCTGGTTGAGGACATGTTGCTGGAATTCCCATCCTCCCCTCCCCAGGGGTCCCTTGCTCTAGAACCAGAGAATATTGCAGGTGATTTTTTCATTATGCAAACTTCTCCAGGTGTGGGATTACCTGTCCCTACCTGAACACCACCTGGGCATTGACTCCTTGGGGTTGGAGGATAAAACATGGGAGTGAGGGAGTCAGAGCTGATGGCTCATGTGGGTCCCTGCAGGGTCACACTGCCGTGAGGACACTGCCTGACGAGTGTGCGAGAATTATTAGAGTGGTTCCCTAGTTGGTCAGCTCCAGAAGCCTGGCCAAACAGGACAGGTCCCACAGTGCCACCTGCTGGGCTTAGACACTAAGTGGTCTAGTCCTTCTGACACCTCCCAACACCCCTGGAATGGTGTCCAGACTTTTGCAGTTGGATCTAGAATGGTGCCATTGACGGGTGCAGAGGAATGAAGAGGTGTCCTCTGTGCTTTTTTAGGACTGGTTGTATTTTTTCCGGGTCACTAATGACCTCCATGTGGTTAAATACACGGTGTATCGATTGCACAGTGTTAATGCTACCAGGTATTACCTGACATCAGAGTTTGCCTCTTCGAGGTGCCTGGGGTCATAACCAGTCTAGTGTCATCTTGAACCTAATGAAAGACTTAAAGTTCTTAGAGTTCCAAGGTGGTTCACGCCTCAAAATAATTCTACTGGGACTTGCCTTCCAGTTTGACCATTGTTGTTGTGGGTTTAGATTCTCCTGCTAGGTCCCTTCAACCCACACCGCAAGGACTTCTGATGCTTGTCTTTGCCATGAGGATAGAATGCTGTCAGAGAAATGTGTCTTCTGTTCCTGATAACTTTTCTGGGTTCAAATTTCCCTTGAACTTTAGCCTGACAAATGCTTATAAATTTGACACTCTGATATACTTAATATATCAGTTTTATAATTTTATTCAGTATGAGTATTGGCATAAACAAAACGTTAATATAAATGGAGCCCTCTTCCCTTCTGAGGGGTTCTCCACTTCTCTTTCACTGAAAATGTTGGAGTAGTAATGACCTATTGCTCTACATGTATTGGACCCTAACCAAGATTTTTTGTTCAGCACTCCATGGAATTCATGAGGGTTGGGTGTTTAACATCTCAGTCCAAAGAACAGACATTTATCCAACATCTTTCCAAACAAAGAACCAGAGGGGGTGAGTAGTAGACCTCTTTGGATTATACTGGGGGCAGTAAGCACTTGGCGAGACATCACTGAATGTGGAGATGGATTTGGATGGTGTTGGTTATATCTTCACAATATTAAGTCATCCATCTTATGGACGTGCTGTCTTCCCATATATGTAAGTCTGTTTAATATGTTCAGCAATCTTTTGTAGCTTTCCGATTCCAAGGCTTTTGGCCATTTGGTTAAGTTCACTCCTAAACATCTTGTTCTTTTTGATGCTGTCCTGAGTGGAGTAATTTTGTAGTATCCTTATGGGCTTCTTCAATGTTGGTGTAGAGAAAGCCACCTGATTAGTCTAGAGAATTACTACTTGAACTTTTGTAGGAGATGCTACATAGATAGCATTTAGGGTTATAATAAGAGTTTGTTTCCTATGTGGGAACAGTAGGAACAAGTAATGAAGCAGGAGGGAATGAGAAAGTGACGCTTTGCCTCCATGACCATGAAATGAGCAATCTCACATGGCAGACACTGTGCACACGAGGAGGTAAATAACCAGATAGAACCCAGGCCATCTCCACTTATGATGGAAACTGAAAATTCTAAAGCTTTACTTCCTTTCAAGTTTGAGAAACACTTCATTTCTATGTTCCAGAACTTTTTAGCTATTTGTGAAACATAGATTTCGTAAGCACCAACTATTCTCTGACGGGTACAATGGGGGAGTAACACGGAGGGTCAGGGAGGAGCCGGCTCTGTGTTCCTGTCTCCTGTGTTCCTGACCCAGTGGTTCTATCAGGACTGAGAGGAGAGCTCTGCTTCCAGAACTCTGCTTCCTCAGGGTTTGGCCCCTGGGAGAGGACACCAGACCTCCCAGCACCCAGCGCCTCTCTGCTGGCTGACCAGTTCTCACTCCTTCCTTCAGCCTCCAGCATCTCTCCACACTTCCTCTCTGAACCCTTATTCCTCTTCTCTTAGATCAACATCATCTAAAAGAAGCCCTCTAGCTTTGACACCCACCTTGGACTATTGGATTATTTCAAGGTGGAGACAAAAACGTATTCCACTCCAATTATTCATCTTTTCTTTTATATTTACAGTGGGATTATGCACTTAGTTACCTATAAATTTTAAATT